TTTTCATTTTGCTTATGTGGTGCTGAGGAATTGAGCCCAGGGCCTCAGGCATGCAAGGCAAGTGCTCTACCACTGAGCCACCTTCCCAGCCCCAGACTCGCTTCATTTGGTGGACATTATAGTCATTCCTAACCCTTTTTGCCAGTTTCATTGAAAAGTTCCACATTGGTCTTAGATCAACCTAACTGATGGCTTACACATCTCTTCAGCCAGAGATATAGGGCTCTGCTGATTGGCCAGGCCATTCCCACTCCTGATGTGACATGACGCTGAGGTCAGCCTCACTTCAATCAAAGGAACAGTTTCTAGGCTGGGAATGTGGCTTAGTGGTAGAGTGCCTGCCTGGCATGGATGAAGCCCTGGCTTTAGTTCCTCAGTACCACATAAACAGAAAAGGCTGACAGTGGAGTTGTGGCTCAAGTGATAGAGTGCTAGCCTTGAGTACAGGGAGGCTCAGAGACAGTGCCCAGGCCCAGAGTTCAAGCCACAGGATTTACAAAAGAAAAAAAAATGTAACACTTCATAGGGCTGGGCACCGGTGGTTCACACTTGTAATACTAGCTACTCAGGAGGCTGAGATCTGAGGTTCTCAGTTCAAAGCCAGCCTGCTCAGGAAAGTCTGTGCGACTCTTTTTTTTTTTTGGGTCCTGTTGTGGGGCCTGAACTCTGGGTCTGGGCGCTGTCCCTCAGCTCTTCAGCTCAAGGCTAGCGCTCTACCACTTGAGCCACAGCGCCACTTCCGGCTTCTTTCTTTTTGCTTTTGTGGTGCTGAGGAATTGAACCCAGGGCCTCAGGCATGCAAGGCAAGCACTCTACCACTGAGCCAACTTCCCAGCCCTCTGTGCAACTCTTATCTCAGTAACCACCAGAAAACCAGAAATGGCCCTGTGGCTAAATGGTAGAGTGCTAGCCTTGCACTGAAGAGCTCAGGGACAGCGCCCAGGCCCAGAGTTCAAGCCCCATGACTGACAAAAACAAAAACAAAACAAAAAAGCTTTATAGGATCTCTGAGTTTCCTTTACAAAAATTTAGAAATAATAATGAACTGCATATGTAACTGTGGATAATAGGCAGGATTTTCCCAAGATAAATCAATGAGGTTTACTAATTGAAAAATGCTACCTAGCAATAATCATTTGAAGCTGTGGTACACTGACAGGAACATAAAGAAGCATATTTGCCTGGACAAATCCTCAAAACACCAGCCTGGGCTCTCTTCCCCTTCTACTCTATTCTCCACTGAGCTAGTCACATTCGCATGTCCCTGAATTTTTTTGCTCAAGACTAGCATTCTACAATGTGAGCCACAGCTCCACCTCAGCATTTTGCTGGATACTTGGAGATGAGAGGCTCATGGACTTTCCTGCCAAGGCTGACTTTGAACCTCAATCCTCACTCAGACCTCAGCCTCTTGAGTAGCAGATTTACAGGCACAAGCCACTGATACCTGGCTCTTAAAACTTGTATGTATGTACTCTTAAGTTTTATCTTCAGCCCTGACCTCTCTTCTGAGACCAAAATCTCTAAATCCAGCTGACTACTTTAAAATCTCATAGCTAATTAAGTTTCAATATATCCAAAAATCAAACATGCAATTTTATTTTCAAAATTAGATTTCCCTCCAGTGGCCTCTTTCTCAGTGAATTATACTGCCTTACATTCCTAAACTAGAAACCTAAGAGCTATTCTATATTTAAAAACAAAAACTTACTACATCCCCCAACCTATATCAGATCATCTCCTGTAACCCTTTAGTGAATTGCACCAGTATCCATCTGGTCGTTACCCAGAAACCTAGAAGTCATACCTATGTTTCCCTTTTTCTTCACCCTCCATATTAAATCTCAAATCATGTCTGTTATACTACTATAAATGCTGGCTTGCTTTCAGATTTGTCAAATAGGGCTCCTACTTCTGGGTAGATCACAGCAGGTAATATTCCCAAGGCAACTAAAATAAGTGTATACTGTAATAAAATTATTTTTAAGCCATCTGATAGCAAGGATTAGATGGACTTAAATTCCAGAGAGGAAAGACTGTTTCCTAGATGATCGTTAGCCATTTTTTTTCCTGGGGGTAATTGCAGACTGAGGAATCAGGCTAGGCTCCAGCAAAGGGACCATCCTGGAAGAAACAGAAGCCAGTAAGTAGATCTCTTCAGTCATTTGTGGCTGATAAGATGGATTGGAAACTAGAGGAGTCCCAAACTGAATGCAAAGTCAGTTTTCCTCGATTCTCAGGAAGTATAGGAGACCATCAAAAAAGAATGAATTCTGAAGTCCTATAATCCAGAGAAACAAACTCCTATTGGTAGAATGGACTAGACTAAACACAAATGTCAAGACACTGCCAGATTTTAAATACCTGTGGAGTGGTAAGCTAAAAATGTAAGCTTAACACTTCCTATACCAAAACTTTGAGGCCTGAGGAAAAGAGGACCTTTAACCAAGTGAGAAACCAGAATTGCACTAAATTTCTTTCTTTTCCTCTCTCCCTCTCCCTCTCTCTCTCTCCCTTCCTTCCTCTCTTCTCTTCTCTTCCCTTCTCTTCCCTTCCCTTCCCTTCCCTTCCCTCCCCTCCCCTCCCCTCCCCTCCTCCCCCCCACTCTCCTCTTCTCTTCTCTTCTATTTTCTATCTAAATTCTGGGATTAAAAGTATATACCACAACAACCAGCTAGGCTGGTATTCTACCACTAAGACTGTTCTATCTACAGCCCTGTTTTCACTGGTTATTTTTGGGATAAGGTCTCACTTTCTACTTGAGAACATGTCTGAGACACAATCTGCCTACTTTAGCCTTCCCAGAGTTGCTAGAATAATAGGTACAGGCCTACCACATCCAGCTTCCTTCTGTGAAGATGGAGTTTGGTAGACTTTCCTGTCTAGACTGGCCTCAAACTGGCATCCTCCTGCTCTCAGCTTTCCAAGTAGTTAGGATTACAGACATAAGCCACTGGCATCCAACTTCAAATCAATTCTTGATTGGATTGAGATAGGCCCACTCCTTTTCCTCTATGTTATATATAGGCAAAGAGGTATCTTTATGGTAGAAGATGTTAACTAGTTGTTTTGTTTTGTTGCCAGTCCTAGGGCTTCAACTCAGGGCTAAGGCACTGTCCCTGAGCTGCTTTTGCTCAAGCAACCCTACCACTTGAGCCACAGCACCACTTCCAGCTTTTCTGTTTATATGGTACTGAGAATCAAACCCAGGGCTTCATGCATGCTAGGCAAGCACTCTACCAGTAAGCCACATTTCCCAGCCTGATGTTATCTAGTTTTATTATATGTTCTGTACAATGTCAAAGATGCAGAAAAGAATTACTAGATATGCAAAGTTACATTAAAAAATGACCAATAACCAGAGGGAAAAAATAAACATTAGAACCAGACTGAGGGCAACATATTAGGAGTTAATACACTACTATTTTAAAATAACTATAACAGCACTTCATGAATGGCCCATCCTTTCCCCTGTGCTTC